ATCGCCACTTGCAACACTTTTTCACATATGCAGTCCACACACGTTCATATCAACAAACGACACCTCTCTCAACAGAGGGAAGTGGTTGACGTTCTTGGTATGTGGCATTAGCCGCAAGGTTTTCAAAGCGATGGCCTGCTTGTATACAAAATGCCTCTCTGCCTGCCAGTGTGGTCAGGGCTACTGCCTAGACGCTGGACACATCAAGATTAGCGATTCTCCTGTCCAGGAGGTGTCCAACCATCACAAGGGACTGTTGTGTAGCGTTTATCTCAAGGATGTGCAGGGGGTGGGTGAGTAGGAGTACTCCGCACCTGAGTCTGACACACTTTGGGTGGGGAGCTAACCATACGCACTGTACAGGAGGAAAGGGGCAGATATCCCACCCTTAAGGTTTGTGTTAGTGAACATCGCCAGCTCTCTCGCTCATTCCATCCTCATACCACGTCACAAACCATCCATAAACAAAAAAAAGTACAGATGAGCAATATGTTAGAAGGTGCAAGGTTCCCCACATTTGTGTGGTTGAGCGGGAAGTGCCCACACACCCGTCTGCCGCCGAACCGGCGTGCCCACACACCCGTCTCAGCCGTCCGCCGCCGAACCGGCTCACTTGCACAAATATATATACTTTTTTCAATCTATACAAACAAAGGTAGGGAGCAGAAGACAACATAACCTAACACAGAAGACTCCACCAGCAAGAAAGCACCAACCAGAGACAGCTAGTCCGAAAACGACTTTGGAGAGCACTCCAAGTCAGCCCACAAGCACAGCATCACTGGCACTCCTATTCCTCCCAAACAACACACCCATGTCAACACTCGACCTAATGCTCCATGGCTAGACATTCTCCATCTGCTGTCTGGCCTCCGGAGTGTACAGAGCACAATAAACCCCAAAACCACATGATCTTCACACGACACCAGGAGTGCTGCTGCTTAAAACACCCTGGACGTTCCCATTTCTTCCATTTGCTCAAAAAAGTAGCCCGTGGGAATCTGCGTGCTGTCATGTTCACTATTCAAACTCACAAAAAAGATACGCCTGTGTGTGCCTGCCCGCCTGTTCATTTCGTTTTTCAACCACATAGTACGATGCTGTGGGTCGGAGACGCACACAGAGTATGGAAACAGGTCAATGAATGATTGTTTGACTGCATGTGCTGAAGCAGAAAGCCTCAAAGGACAGAAGCGGAAAAACAGCCTCACTGGACAGAAGCGGAAAAAATAGCCTCAATGGACAGAAGCGGAAAAATAGCCTCAATGGACAGAACCGGAAAAAATGAGCGCTGCGGGGTCGCTTGTTGCATCGGATGGGGGGATGGGGTGTGGGGTGAACACAAAGAATGGGGAAAGGGCAAAAAGTTTGACTTTCTCAACCACGTGTGTTTAAATGTGCACTAGCACAGGAAATCTATGTGCTACTGCTAGACGAGCTTAATCCTGAGCACAAAAGTTCGGTGAAGTGAACCACAAGGCGCCTGGAGAAAACTTCGCGTTGAAAAGTCTCATTATACGATACGAGAGTAATTGACTATTTGAGTAAGAAAAAAAAAAAAAAAAAAAAAAAAGCCACACGGCTGGTGTATGGAAGCCATTGCCAATGAACAGATGGATACGGCAAGGTTTGTGTCCACCACATACGGACAAAACGGAATCGAGGAGAAACAATCTTGCTCAGGGTTGAAACAGGTCAAGGGAAAGGATTTCAGGATCTCTGATGCTACCGGCTGACCCATGGCCAGTATCGTCCAGCGGCTGTAGCAGATATCCCTCCTGCTGGTGGGTGAGCCCCCGCATGTTCCCTCGTTGTGCGCATAAACACCGATGTGGCTGCTGCAGGGTTCCCCGTAATTCTATAATGATAATAAGAAGGTCTAACAGGCCTCCCTGTCCAGATTGCACAGGTAATTCAATTGGTATAGCCCAAACAAAGGCAGCCATAACCCACATAAAGATTTAGGAAAACAGATATTCACCAACTCTTCTTGTACGCTCTGCTCGTACGTTGAGAAATTGTCGACCGTCACTTGTTTCACTGTTCTTGCCTTCAATAGCTGAGCCGCAGCTCAATCAGAGGAAGAGTATTCTAGCTGATTGACGAATAGCTACCACTGCTTTCGAGTATTGTGATGTACAAAAAGTTCGTGAAGTAAACTACACTCATACAGCTTCATCCATCTCGATAGCGTTTGACACTGCTCTCCATGAAACATTGCCTGACATATACCATGAGTTCCTTTCCATTAATTTGTTGATCATATGCGTTCCCATTTTTATACAATTGGTCCTACATACGACATCCCGATGGCACACCTGATGATGACACAACGGTAGAGATTCCGTTGGCCAGTTTGGTAGATAATACAACGGTGTTTGAGATCATACAAATCTCAACTCCGCTTCAGTTACACCACCAGTACCTCCTGAAAGTGCTCCGCGTTAACGGACATGTATTTTGGGATGAACGGGCCTGGACCCATACGCCCAATTCAGCCAAGTGGAAACGGCACGATTTCTACTTTTGGCTGGCCGTTAACACGGAGCACTTTCAGGAGGTACTGGTGGTTTAACTGGACCGCAACAGGGAGAGAAAAGCAGGTCTCAAGTCGCATTGGCATTTGATCTGAAGTTGGATGCAGTATTCGAACTATTTGTGCTCCAACCGCACATCTCGATTCCGAGTGCACTGTTCAGCGCTCACGCTGTTAACGGGTAAGTGTCACATGGTTCGATCTATGGTCATACTTCCGGGCAGTCAGAAGGGTATTGGATGGCCGTTGAGTTGTCGGTTTCGAACAAGATGCTGGTCCGTGGTGAGTTCTGGATCACTCTTACTATGAAAAGGGCCTTTACCCGATATAGGCCTCAGGCCTTGTAAAAATAGAGCAGCACGGGCCTTGTAAAAGTAAAGCATTGTGAAAAGGTATCTTGCCAGGGCTCAGAAACGTGAAAACAGGTCAAAAGTCAAGTTCTCTATNTTGTAAAAGTAAAGCATTGTGAAAAGGTATCTTGCCAGGGCTCAGAAACGTGAAAACAGGTCAAAAGTCAAGTTCTCTATCAACAGGCACATCTAAATCTAAGGCAWAAGGGCATTGTCAAAAGACTTACCTGTTCACCAGGAGATGTGTATGTCATGTCTGTTYGRGTAAGGGTGTGTCTGTACGTGYAGGCAGTGTACCTGTTCGTGCAATGGAAAGTGCCTGTTCAAGTAGTAAATGTGTCTGTTCGTTTAGAGTTGTGCCTGTCCGAAAGTGAAGTCAGTAGGCACAGTCCCAGTTCTGGTCTAAGTCAAGGGGTCAGTCTAGATCCAGACTTTCAAGTCCAAATCCAGGCCGAAGTGCCTCAGCAGCAGTTGAATCTCATTGGGACTGTACTGGGAAACATGCAATGCAGGGTCTGGGACAAAGGGAGAGGCTGAATTGAGCCAATGCAGACCCAGCGAGGAGTGGCCAGCACTATAAAAAGAGCTGCCTGCCTCATTCCTCGCTAGATCTCTACTGGCTGCAATGCGTGGAAGTGCTGGTGCACTTGTGCGCTGAGTCAGGAGGAGCAGCGCTGGAGGAGACGATGCGCTGGAGAGAGGAAGAAGCCTGTACGCTGGAAGTGATGCAGCCATAGCTGCCCAGCGAGTTAGTATTAGTAGTAGAGGGTTAGTATGTAGCTATGAGTAGTATCCAGAGTAGATCCTCGTGAGTATTAAAGAGTGTGTATGCATCATAGGAGGAAGGGATTGAGGCTGAGAGTGTTCATTCAAGGTTTGGCTATGGAAGATACTTACCTGAGTTGCATGTGACCTGCAGAGGTGGCGCTGATGAGTAGTGACCACATTGATGACTTGGAGACTATCTGCAGGGGTAACACTGATTCACTGGAAGTCATATTGATGAGTTGGCAAGATATTGGTGTTGTGCTGATGAGCGCTGGACTCAGGGGAACTTTGAAACAATTTGTATTCATATTTCTGATAATATAAACTGTGAAACTCGGTCCTCATCTTCTCTATCTTTGTTTTGTGGGAGTGCGATGCATGGCATGTACACACTTGCGTGAGATGGTCCCCAGGACCCATGCACTATACCGGACTACGGAGATAAGCTAATGGAGCAGGGGACAGTCGTCTGTCAGACATGGCGTTTCTTTTTGAGATCGCTGCTATCGGCTACGATTGCATGTCACGCGGTAATCAAAATCCCCTGATTTAAAAGCAATCAACCTTGTCTACATAAGCCACATACCCTTGGCTTGGTTCTTGTTATTATGACGCCCAGTCCACTATTCGAGCAGGCACAAATCCCTGCTTATAGGCCGGAGTCTGCGAATATCACCGCGAATTGTGGAACCCCAGGTGATGATTTCTGGAAGAAAAGAAATTCACCAAGTAATTTGACGAAAAAAAGAGAAGTTCTCCGACCATTTCGTCAACCGGTCCGCGATTTCTCCTTCAGAATGGTCCACAACCATCCTCGAAAATTTTGGGGTTCTACACTCGATCAGGCCGATCAGTCTACACAGCATCGTTTGTTCAAATCCAGAAAGGGAATGTTCAGGTGATGGGTCCTTACTCGCATACGAGGGAGCTTCACCTCATTCGTCATTTTAGGTCTTGTCAGTGGTGCATCGCCATTACCACTACGCCCACCAGCCGAATGACAATAACGCCAAGGTGTGCATCGCCATTACTGCCAAGCCCACCAGCCGAATGACAATCAGCCATCACCGTGATTCCCCAGGAATCCCGACATGACAACCTTGGCCATCGCAGGATGGTCGAAAACGGTTTCGCAACAGAACTCGTCGTACACAGGCGTATAAAATTTCCAACATGAACTGCGTTTGACAATGGCATAAAAGTCCAGAGTTACAGCGACAAGTTGATATGGCATGTCAAGGACGACTCATCATGGCGTTACGTATATCAACACAGGAGTCATGATGATACATTATACAAAACGTTTTCCTCGACCTATCACTACCTCGCACTGCAAAAGCTTAAATCCGCCGGTGCTTCGTTGATTCTCAGGGACGAAGAACGTACCATTTTGGCATTAGCTTCCCACCAACTGGACACTCCCAAATTTGACAACGCCACACGGTGCCGAGATTGCAACGCAGTGCCTCCAGAGTACATCGACTCCAGTGTCGCCCTCCAGAGTTCATCGACTAATAAAGACCTACAATGTGCGAGGTTCCTGACAACCAACTCGAGTGCAAAACGAGGGACTAAAACGTTATAGCATTCACAAACAAAAACAAGCATGCACACTATGAACCATCACTGCACAAGTAGCCCCCTCATGTTCTCTCGTGAACACGGTTCTGGCTGCGCTATGGAGCCCCGGCATGACTACAATTAGTTGTAGTAATATACGTAGATAGTGTGACATGAAATTGAGAGAAGAATGTATCTTAGGTTTTTTTTTTAACAAACAAAAATAAAAGGAATAGCTTCAAGAGCTCGGAGCCTCGTCATCATCTGGCCGCTGCGCTTAGGATTGCACCAAGCATTTCGAGGAGCTAATGGTGATCCACTGTTACGCCACAGCATTGTCCCTGCAGGTGCCGTGTCAGGTGCACTTGCTTGGTGTGCACACGAGGACAAACACATATCACTTGGAGCAGAAGAGCTCGAGTACCTAAATCAAAACAGAAAAGAAAAAGTAAAGCGCGCAATCAAAAACTTTTGACAACAACAAATGGATTTGTCTAGTCCACTTCGTGAAGCAGATCAAAAATCATGAACAGGAAGGTAGGTTGCCACGCGCTCCTCCCCATCCCACCCCACTCACCACCCTGCCACCTCTCTTCTACCACCTGCTTCGTGCGCCCAACCATCTCCCCCCCCCCCCCCCCCCCCCCCCCCCCCCCCCCTCCTCAGTAACTGACGGTGGAGTGCCCATTCATTGACCGTTAACTTGATTATGAAAAGCCAGCATCCAAAAGGGGACGACTTTTGCGAGCAACATTTATTGGCCTTATTCCGCAGAGGATGTGCCAAAAGATAACTACAATCCATCAGATACTACAGGTCTCCAAGTACAAGACTATTTCTGCCTGCTAGTACATTACACCCCGTGAGAGCAAACCAAAACCACGGAGAAATTTCGCTTAGTCTATAAGGGAGGAGTCGGCCCACTCTCCCAGGCAACGAGCAGCAGCACTCCAAAGGCCCACCCTTCAACATGAACTCTTAGACTGGGTCGACCAGTTGTAAATTGACCAGCAGTAAAGCTTTCCAGAACAGCAGAGGGATCGGCCCGATTACACCTTCAAAGTGACGACGATGCCGACCTGATCACCTGGACACGGGTCCAAACACACCACCACTGTCATCCTAGAAGACGAAGACGAGAATAAAACTGCAAGTACACTACCAGAGAGAGCACAGACCTCCACAACACTTGCCGCCGTCCGGCAATAGCCACAGCAGAATGCACAATCGCCCCTTTGCTTACGCGCTTGCTAACAGGAATGTGTTCCCTCCACACTCTGAAAAGCGGACGGACCGCAGTCAGGAGGCGATAAAAATACGTTTGCTGCATTGTTCTGCATAATACGGCCAGGTACAGTGGTGTGCAACCCTCGGGAACCGTTCCGAGCCTCCTGATTCTAGCAGTCGTCACAGTGCTTCACGCAACACCAAAACGCTTTGTGCCTTTTGCATCCACCTCCAAGACACAGTAAGCTGTGTCCGCACATGCGAAGGCAACATCACATGCAGGATCGGATCCGAGACTGCTTCCGCTCTCAACATCATTTGGCACTGTCGATGGAGAGAGGAGCTTTCTTCGGTTCTCTTCACAGCAGCCGCCAGCTGAACTTAGATATCAATACACACTGAAGCAAAGTGACCACACAAGACGGGTGTGGCAGGGGGGGGTTGAGACTTCAGAGCAAGAGGGACAGACGAGGGTAATCAGCGCGTACAACATGCAACAGTTAGGATGACGTGCCATGGCCTCTGCTGTAAATATACCGAAGACACTGCAGAAATACAAAATACAGAAGCTCTTAACAGGGGTGAAGGGAACGAACAACCCATCTCTTGGACTCGGATTAGAATCTTGAAAGTCCAATGATGCACAGAAATGGCCATGGGAGCCACAAGATACAGGGTTCCACAAGAACAGAGAACACCTTTCAGCACACGGATACATGGCAGTACCGGCAAAGTAGCCCCACTGCAATACACAAACTTTTGACAGTTTTTGGCCAACGGGTAAGGCTGACTATCATGAGATACAGACGGACGAATAAACAAAGAAGGATCGATTTCAAATTGTTGAAACAAGAATTTGCTAAAACACCAGCCAACCCGACCAACTCTCCTGGCCAGCAAAAAGGGTACACGAAGATGAATTAGCATCAAGAACAAGGGGTACGGATGAGGGCATACAAGCTGCTGTTAAGTGCATTATGGTGTCAGTGTCTGTGTTACAGCCAATCAATGGCAGTAATGTGGCAGGGAAGACCAGGAGGCATCATACCTTTCTATACAAAGTCTCCCACGGCCTCTCTCTCTCTCTCTCTCACTCACTCTCTCTCTAACTATCTTGCACACATCCAGGTTAGTTCACTGAAAACTACGGAGCGTTCTCTCACTTCAAGCTCTCTTCCCCGGAATAACTCAAGAAGACATCCGGACTGCTGACTTGCCTCTTCACAGGCCACCTTAAGCTAGCTAGAGCTACCTTTTCGGACTGACCAACCGTCTTTGGATAGGGTAGAACCCACCCCAAGGTTGACATATCTCCCCCCCCTCTCCCCCCCCTCTTTCTCCCTCTTTCTTCCTCTCCTCTCCTTTTTTTCCCATCCATTCACCGTCAGTCCATTTACATCTGCCAGACAAGAACTCGCATGCACTGGATCCACATACCTTCCCATTAACAAGCAAATGACATCCCCTGACATCATCACCCACCCGTTCAGCTTCCACCAAAGGGAACCTGGCGTCACATAAACCCATCCTGACTTTCCATCTGGAGTCCATCCTCTTCGTTTCCAGATGTCATACATCATGTTCTGGAAACAAACAAGGATGCATGCTGATTGGATGATGGCAATAAAGTTGTTTCGCTCAGCAAGATTCGAGCCCATCATCATCTTTCCTGTCAATCCTTCTTGCTCGACTTGTTAATCAGCGACTTATGAATATGTGGGATCACTCCTCCTCCCGCAATTGTTCCCTTTATCAGCGTATCCAGCTCTTCATCTCCCCGAATAGCCAGCTGCAGATGACGCGGCGTAATACGTTTGACCTTCAGGTCTTTGGATGCATTTCCGGCAAGCTCCAGCACCTCAGCAGTCAGGTACTCGAGAATCGCTGCACTATACACTGCAGCAGTTGCTCCCACCCTTCCATTTGCAGATACTCTCGACTTCAGTAACCGATGAATTCGTCCAACAGGAAACTGCCACAATAATGCACATGCACACCACAAACCACACGAGAAACGTGAGCAGACAAGATGCTGCTGACATCACTAGGAGAGACAGAAGTCACAGGATTTTAACTGACAGCTTCAGTTAAGCCACCACATTCTCTAGCTGTGGTGATGTTCTACTGACAAGGTTTTGTCCTTCGTTCTTCTGGGCTACAGAGTATGTTAGGTGCGTCGACATTTTTTGTTTGGCGATGGAGATGAAGGGGAGGGAGAGGAAGAGGAGGAAGAGGAAGGGGAAGAAGAGGAAGGGGAGGAAGAGAAAGGGGAGGAAGACAAAGGGAAGGGAGAGGAAGGGGAGGGAGAGGAAGGGGAGGTTGGGGTTAGAAAAGGGTTCCACCCAACAACACAGGGAACAGGGCGGTCTTTCGCATTCTACAGTAAAGATAATATCCACACATAATGGAAGCCATCAAAGACAAGCCTTTCATATCGTAATCCGCACTCCTTGCTCTGCCGATTTATCATTCTAGCTTGCAACCGAATAATGGAGATTAGTAGTCCGTACTGTCCATGGTCTCTAAAGATCATCATTTACTTAGAAACGAACTTCCCAGTTATATTTCTTACCTTTTTTTCCTCCCAATAATATTTCTCGTATGCTCTGCCGATTTAGGTGTTCATCCGACGGTAAGAAAACATTTCCACAACAAGCTTCGAATCAATAGTCTTGAGAAGGGTCTGGTTGACTTTAACTAGACCCAAGCACCGCGAGGATGGACCTCTCCGCTTGCAGACCGGTCAAGGCAAACAATTTCTGCCCACCTCTCTCTCTCTCTCTCTCTCTCTCTCTCTCTCTCACACACACACACACACACACACAAACACACACACCAGAAAGAACACACTCTTGGGCTGCAAACTCTTAGCGCCCAGGCCTCGCTCTCTGTCTCTCTCTGTCTCTCTCTCTCGCACACACACACAAACACACACCGGAAAGAACAAACTATCTTGGATGGCAAAGTCTTAGCGCCCAGACCATAAGAGTATATTTTAAGTTGCAAAAAAGCACCAGTAGGAGAGCACACTCCAAAACTTTAGGCCGTGAAGAAGCGGGCCGCAGTTTCGATGCCCAACGGTGGTGGGGACCTGTTCGGTTGTGCAGCGAATTTCGCCATACTGGCGCTTTAAACCCTTTGTCCAAAACCTGTAGTCAGGGAAAGGCTCAGGCTACCCGACACAAGGGGGGCGTGCACAAATTTGGAGTAGCCCAACTTCGGCAATTTTAGTAGTCCATTTCGTTGATGAAAAATTTCCAAAACGAAACAGGGATTTAAGGTAGGTACCAATTTGTCAAGAAATTACAATTCAGAAAAAGAAAAAAAGATGTTGCCTGCGGATAGACATTTGGTCAAAACATATGCACACGTCGATCATAGCTACTGCTGCTGCTGCTAGCCAGGACAACCCAGGATGGGTACCTTCGTCCCCCGAATACAACGTACGGTCATTATAGCTGTATCTAGACTGGAAGATGCCTCAAATACAGCTATAATGACCGTACGTTGTATTCGGAGGAAGAAGGTAGTTTTCTTTCTTGGTTGAACAAAATAGTCTGCCGCACTGTTAGCTTCAGTTGGCCTGGGATACTTGGCCTTCAAAAAAATAAAAAGATCTATCGAGGTCGATAAATGATGCCACGGGCAAAGTCGAGAAACCCAAGTACCAAACCAATTAAGAGTTCCGATAAGACCGAAAAGGAGGGCAGTACGTGGGAGCAGTTCGATTGTCATTCCTGCCCGTAACGAAGAGCAAGGGGAAACTCGAAAAACCCAAGCCGTCCAATGAGGCATGCATTAAAATTGGAACGATAATACAGAGAGAGAAGATTAGCGTGGCCCATACGTTAGATGACTCGCATAAATCGACAAACGGTCCAAACATCTTTCCAGGAAAGAAAGAAAGAAAAAAACAAGCCCCAAACCAATGAAGAATTCCATAACTCCGAAAAAACGGAGGGTAGTAGGTCAGATAGAGAAATGTCATCCTGCCCCAAACGAAGAACAAAAGGGAAGGGGAGTAACCAAGGAAGGTCCCAAGCCGACGAAGCATTCGATAAGACCGAAACAAAGCGCAGCGGGTGGGAGCAGTTCCACGCGACAGCGACAAGGCATCACTCTTCGGATTCACGTATGAGACCGAAAAAGAGTAAAGGAGAGAAGAACAAGGGAAAAAAAATAAAAGAGCCAAGGAAAGAAGCCCCAAAGCTCGATTTTCCCGTCATCATGGAGGGGAGGAGAAGATCAAGCTCCTGACGTTTAATCAACGGTGTACATGTTACAACGCCAAACGAGGGTTTATCCTTAAGCGTGTGTGAAACTCTCTAAGTCTGCAAGAAAGAAATGCGTACTGTTCAGATACGATCAGATGAAGAGAGTAAAAAAAAAAATTAAAAAAAAATCTGAATCGCCTGGTGCTAGTCAGTTCAATGATGATATATGAAGGCCGTCGCACTTTTCCCAAAGAAAAAAAAATGCGCACTGTCCATTGCTTACAAAGCGGAGCCCAACATCGCTCTCGTCAAGGTATGGGCTTGTCCCGCACGTCCTGGCAGCTAATAAGCGTGCGTCTGACGTGTGCAATGACATGGAAAGTGACTTTCGGCGCCAAAGCAACTTTGAATCGCTGCTTCAGGTCGATAAGCCGCGAGGTTCATCAAATCTGCGTTGGTATTCTCGTGTCGTGGGTTGCAGCGTGGCATTCACAAGGCCATATCAAGAAAGAACATCGCTAATTGGTTGAGTCCAATTTCGGACAAGGCTAGACAATCCGCATTGCGCCATGCTACATAATTTACATCTGCGTGTGGTTGACATCGGCTATACGATAGGCTGCAGAAAGGAGGCAGACCTCGGCGATGCATGACATAAATGTCTTATCAGAAAACAGCGCGCCGGATACTTGATTACTTCCTAATGCCTGAGTACAGGTACACTGATATCGCGATCTATTCTAGAAGGGACTTAGGAGCAATCGCATACCTGTCTGAACGTATATACAACAATCGTATCCTGTATACGAAGGTCCTACCGGTACCGTGAGGTTTTACAGATCCAGCAGGTACAAGAAGAGGGAGGAGTGATACGCACATAACGAGACGCATAGGAAAGAAGCACACGGACAGAGATATAGTGCGGCCATAGATCTTTGTAGAAAAAGACGGTGGCACGCACGCAAAGAGAGGCATAGAGAGAGCAGCACACGGTAAGCGAGACAGCGAGGCCATAGACCTTCAGACAGCAGCATCTACTGCTTTCAGGCAGGTACACATTTAAGGGGACAAGAATAGGACTTCTCCAACTGAATTTGACCCAGCTTCACGCACGGAGTCATACATATCGTGAAGGGCGAGACTACCCGTCGTGTCATTCAACGAGTAAAGAATGCTTATCAACCTCAACTCCCTTCGACACACCGCAGTTTTGTCATCAGCAGGAGAAAACGCGATCCCAATTGTCTTCCCCCGAACACAACGCACCCTCATTATGGCTGCACCGGACCGGAAAGATAGCTTTCATACATTCAGTATCAGGGTGCGTTATGTTCGACGGAAGACGGTAGCCAAGAATCGCCAACCGGTTCAAGGTAGCTCATAGGCGTGCTGAGCTCGCATCAGTCTATGTGCGAGCAGCAGCTCTCCGGAATCGTCGTTATGTTTCGTTTCCGTCCTCTACTGAGAGGAGTGCTTCGCTATAATCCATTCTTCCCGCAAGGCAAGATGAAGCCGCAAAGAGCGAAGAAGAGCAAGAAGCACCCCACCGCCGCGAGACGGGACAGTCGGACTACTACAAAGGAGAAAGAAAAGAGAGTGTGAACCCTACGGGCGCCCACGAGAAATTGCGTACGCCGTCGCTGCAGCGAAGCTCGTCCAGATGAGGACAGAGGTGTTCGGCCGTACCCACACTGGGGATTTCTCCACCATATCTCTGGTGGCCAATTGCCGTCCAACAGATCTAAGGATCGAGTCCCAGAGAAAGTACGCCGTGAGTAAAACTCGGAAGTTCGCGAGCAAGACAAGCTACGCCGCATCGCTGGCTTCGCTTCCCTCATCGCAGAAATCACCGATTTATTTTTTTTTTTCATAATAGAAATCATCGATTCGTACGTTGTGGCCTAGACGACTCAAACTACAAGGATGTAGGTGCAAACGTTATCAATTCCCGACACCGATTTAATTTTTTTTTCATAATACAAATCATCGATTCGTACGTTGTGGCTTAGACGACTCAAACTACAAGGATGTAGGTGCAAACGTTATCAATTCCCGACGCCCGGGGCAACAGCAGGCAGACCCGTAGGACGACAGCATTCTACAAGTTGTCCACGATTTGCAATTCCCTGAAGTCGTGAGCAGAGCCGTACTACTACAACCCTTAGCAAGAAATAGGACTTCAGCCCACTTCAGTCGAGTTCCTGAGTTAACCACTCGCAGCTGTAAATTTACCATCGTAAATTAACGGTATCTTGCCCCGGAGTGCTGGTCTCTAGTGCAGTGAAACGATCGGCACTTTCTCCACCATCCAACTTTTCTCTTCTTGGTCCCTACCACGACACATTCTACATACTCGATAATCATAAGGCCGTGTCGTATTTATAATCGTCACTTCTCCTCCAAACAAGAAACACCGTATGAGCGCAAGAAAACTTCGTCTCTTTCTCTGCTCTGTAGCACCATTCTTCTACCCCCCCATGCACTTTCAATAGACCCTCACTCCCGTGACAGCTAACGCTCTGCGCTTTGTGCATAGCCACCGATATGAATGGTTTTCCCTTTCTAAAGCGAACACCAACGCAACAAAGTCCCCCCCCACAATTTTTTTCCCTTCCCTCTTCTCGTCTTATCCGCCAGACCACCACTACCTCCAAAGCTGGCCATGGCACCCGTTGCGTACTTTCAGTTTGTCCTCTCTCTGCCCCTCCACCCCGCACCCTCTCCCCACTTTGGTCTCCTACAGATTTACCCCTCCCTCCCCTTGGAAAGATCCATCTGATCGACGATTACCGTTGCCAGCACAACGGCTATTTGGGTGTCTGGGTGAATATCGTTCACCGACAAGTTTTTGGGTCTCGCCGTACCGCTCACCCAATGTGCAAAACAATGCATCCTCCAGAAAAACTTAAAAACCGAAATACTTCCGTCTTTTTTTTCACATTTGATGAATGTTGCGGCGAGGCCCTTTCACCTAACAGCGGAAGCACGGTCTTTCTAACTCTTATCTCTATCCCATCTATAACCAAAACTTGACCTAAATTCTAGTTTACCTTGCGTATTTATCTTTCTTACCTCTATTCGACGTTTATCAATTGCTTATCTCATGTCTACCGTCTTCCCCCGAACATAATGCACCCTAAAAATGAATGTATACAACCTATATTTCCGGCCAGATACAGACAAAATAAGGGTGCGCTGTGTTCGGGGGAAGACGGTAGGTTACTGCTCGCATTTCCAACACAAAGCTTAGTTGATGACTATCGGTAAGCCCTAACTATTGACTTTCTGATCTCGGCAACCCGACTCAGCATCTCGCACAGTGAGCATGTTTCTCCACTTTCTTATCCCCAATCTTGCAGCTGTTCTTGGCATGTTCGCCGTGACGCAAGCATGCGCTGCACAAGCGCAACGCACAAATGATGTGCGCACAGTGCGCTTCGTCTGTAATGCCAGAACGATGGCAAATAAAAGACAAAGAACCTTCCGCCGCTCTTCCTCCCCAGATTCCATCCTCCCCAAAGTAGTGCGGCGGCGAGTGTAAAAGGGCTTCGACAATTTGCACTTTTTTAACAAGATAAAACGAAGCGCAGAGAATTACTCCCATTCTGCAGTCAGCCTACCGTCTGGTCAGTAGAAATAGAATGCACGCAGATCCTCCCTCTTCGTTACATCCTCCCGTAAATTAGCTTCTTCATCATCCACATGCTTACCATTGATTAGTACCATACGATCGTGTACATAAGCACAACACAAAACCCTTAAGACGAAAGAAGGAAAGCACCAAAGAATGCGCCGTTTGCATGGCGTCACGCTGGGAACACCTGGCCTCGAACGACTGCCGAGAAGATGCAGGGAACGGCACCCACTTGCGTGCACTTGCGTGCTCCGCAGTCCGCAAGCCGCCTCGGTAACCTCTCAACATTAATTAACGGTTCCTCACTACCAGTCTTTTAACGGAAAAGATTGCGCGGGAAACAAATACCTACGAACAGCGAGCCGGGCATATCGCTTGAGCCATCTATGGCACATCGGAGAAGAAGAAGACGCGTATACAGCAGACCGGAAGGAACAAAAATTTCGGCCTCACTATAGCCTGAGAACGGTGAACAGAACGGCTGGGGGGGCAGGGGACCGGGATTATCTATCTGGCCGAGTTTATCCCCACACTCGTCTAAATCATAGGGCGAGTAATGCCCTAAGAGGGCGCAAATTAAGGACGGCAGCAATGGCAGAAAAAAAGCAGAAAGAATGAGGGTGAAAAGGAAAAAGAGATAAGGAGAGACCCGACGACATGGACAACAACATACCAAGCCAGAGGAGAGAGAGCAGGGCAAAGGGCAACGAAGGCGAGACACGAGAGGGAGGTAAGAGGTGAGAGAGGCAGCTTTAAGCAGATCGAAGAAAGAAGAGAGATATAAAAGACAAAATCGGAGATCACAGCGCGGACCAGAAAACGGAGGCAATCGAGAAGAGGAGCAAGAGATTCGAGAAGTCAGGAACGAGGAGAGATAGGAGGGGAGAGGAAGGAGAGGTGTAAAACGAGCAGGAGATTAGAGAAGTCAGGAAAGAAGAGGTGAGAGAGGAAAGGGGAGAGGAAGAGAAAGGCGAGGAATGCGGCAACAAGGAAAGAAAAGTAAATGAAAGACCCAGGGTGAAATACATACGATATGCCAGACGAAAACTGAAGGGCATAAACGAGACAGCCAGACGGCAGGAGAAGGGAGAGACCACGAAGAGCCCAGATAGATGAGAAGAGAGAAACTGGAAAAACGGTACCGGCGAAGCCGGAGAGTGGAAAAAGGAAGATGACGAGAGGGGGAAGGAGAACGAGAAGGGAGAGGCGAGGAGGGAGATGAGAAAGGACAGCAAAGAGTGGAGAGACACAAGAGAGGAAAGGCACGGAAGAGGAGAAAGACAGTAGGCGGAGGAGCGGGAGGGGACAAACGAGGATCCGAAGAACAGGAGGCGGTGACTAAAGACAGCAGTAAGATAATACACGAGGAAAGAAAGAAAGAGAAAATGGACAGAAGAAAAAAAAAATAGAGAAAATGGAAGGAAGAAAGAAAAGATAGAGAAAATGGACGGAGATGGACGTGGGAACAGAGGAGAGACGGAAGAGGGGCCAAGATAGGAGCGACGGGGAAAATAACAAAGAAAGTAGAAAGAGTACAGGCAAAGGAGCTGAAGTGAGGAAGAGAAGAGGCGAAGGAACTGAAGTGAGGAAGAGAAGAGGCGAAGGAGCTGAAGTGAGGAAGAGAAGAGGCGAAGGAGCTGAAGTGAGGAAGCATCAGGAGAGACAGTAGTCCAAAGAAATGACGGAAGAAACAGCAGACGGAGAAAAAAGAGAGGGAGGAGAGAGGAGGTGGCGAGAGTCGAACGGCAGCGGAAGGGCGAGAAACATGAGGCAGAGACTGAAAGGGTGGGGATAGCAGGAAGAAACAGGACGGGCGAGAAACATCAGGCAGAGGCTGAAATGGTGGGCACAGCAGCAAGAAACTGGACGTGAGGTGAAGACCACAATGACGCGAGACGGTACACGGACGAGGCTGGAAAGGGGGAAAAACAGCAGGTGGGGAACAACAGGGTCAGACAACAGGGATGAGAGGACAGGATGGGAGAAGAGGGAAGAGGGCAGATAATATCACAGGGAAAACAGGGAAGACAACAGGGAAAAGAAGGGGAACGAACAGGCGGGAGCAGAGGGGAGAGAACGGGGAAGGGAAGAGCAGAGGGAAGAGAGGGAATATCGGGGAGAGAACAGGGAGAAGACGAAGGAAGAGAGAGCAGGAGGAAGAACACAGGGAAGAGAACAGTGGGGAGAGGACGAAAGAGCGAACAGAGGGGAGAAGACAGTGGGAAATAACAGGGAAGAGCGAAGAGAGAGAACTGGGAGTGAACAAGGGGAGAACAAAGGGCGAAAACAGAGGGAAGGAGAAACGGGGGAGAGTACGAGGGCAGTGACTGCAGGGAGAGCCAAGACGGGTGGGCAGAGAATACACGGGAGACAAGGAGGGGCAGGGAGTACAGGGTAGACAAGACGATAGAGTGTAAGGAGACGACAGAGAAGCACACAGAAGAGAATCAGTCGAGATATGAAGAGTAGAAGAGCGAGGGCAGCTAGGAAAGACGAGATACGAAGGGAGAGAGGTTCGGGGAAACCTCGACAGATGAGAGGGAAGGCATGAGAGGAAATAGAAGGGGAGAGGGAAGAAATAAAACGAAGAGCGAAGCAAGGAGAAGCAGGATGTAAGCGTAGTGAGGGAAAAAGAGGGCAGAGCGCCGAGAAAGGAATCAGAGAAGCGAGAAGAGGGAGAAAATGGAGAAGGCAGACAGGGAACAGGAAAAAAAAAGAGGAAGGGAGGAGGAAAGACAGGAGGTCTAAACAACCGAAAGGAAGAGAAGATGGCATGGAAAAGACTGGAAAGAACTGCGATAGAAGAAGAGATTTCGGTAGATATGACACGAGAGAGCAGACGGGATAAACGGAGGGGAAAAGAGAATACGCAAGAGACTACAGAGAGACTCGAAAGTGAGGGGTTTACGGCAAGCGCGACGAGCAAAAGGAACCAAAGGTAGGGGAGTGGAGGTGTACGAGTAGGGAACAAACGTGAGACAAAGAAAGCAAAGAGAACGCGACTGACAAAATAAGAGACAAGCCTAAAATGAGAAAAGGGAAAGACGAGTAAAAAGAAGTTAAATTAACAAATGAGCACCACTGGGAAGAGGGAGGATAAATCCTATAGATCCAAATATCCCTCGTCCTTCGCCACTTGCCGGCTCGTTCACTGATAACGATTGTCAAACTTGAGCCAGGCAGCACTCCCACTCGATCCAGTCTGCCGCTCTGGAGATTCAGCAGCGCTCGCCTTCAAAGTCAGAACGGCGCCAAGGGTGTTGCTTGACATTTTTATCTTCGCGTAGTAATCGAACCCCTCTTGTCTTCAACAAGAGCACAAAGGCCATAGCGAAATGAACAGAGAAGGGACACCGGGGGGAGATGGGGTGGAGGTGGGGGGCAAGTGAATGACGAAGCTGCAGGTCGAGAAACACTTTGTAAACCAACATAAAATTTGAGGCGAAGTCTGTACCTGAAGTCCGGCACGCGATGAGCGCGAGACTGGCTTTTTCTTGTCTTTCTTGTCTCCACCGTCTGCTGATTTTCCCATCAAGAGCCCCTTCGCACCCTTCCCCGACTGCAGTGCAACACATGCAACAACGAACGAATTAGAGGAGAAAGAGAGTTATTACAGCGCTATTCCTCCTCAGACATTGACATCACACACAATCAGAAGCCAACGAAAAGCCTCGTATGCACGATGATCAATTCAAATCCACAACCAGCAGGCCAAGACAGAGGGGAATTGAAACCAGGCATCAACAACCGCCGTGGAGACAAGCGGGACAAGCACGAACGGAGAGTATAACGGACCATGATAACAGACACTCAAGAAGAAAAAATTGAGAAAGAGAGAAGAGGAACCACAATCAGTAGGGCAGTTGGCGGAAGCCCAGCACAATCAGTACGGCAGTTGGCGGGAGCCCAGCACAAGGCCAACGGACTCTGAGAAACGTGGAAAGAAAGGGGAAAACGGAACATAGACGAGCATATCGAGCTCCCCGGGTACCAACCAATACGCGCAGTCAGGGGCCGTTGCCGTTTTCTGTTGTGTATGCATCTAAGATGGAGAACATGGTCAGCCAGACGGCAACTGCAGACTCGAACGCGCAACATGTTGTGGGGAGATAAATACAGGGGGGGGGGGGGAGAAGGGGGGGGAATCAAGCAAGAGACGAAAACATGAGAAGGAAAGGAGAAACACGTCGGCCAGAGGAGAGTAGGAAAACTAAGAAAGAAAAATAGCCCAAGAAAGGGCGGCGGAGGGGGGAAGGAGAGAACAGAGGGGGGGGGGGAAATTGGCGCCAGAAGGGGAAAAAAAAGGAGGCGAGCCAGCAGTGAAGGGATAATTCAGAAAAGGGAAACAGAGACAAGAGAGCTGCTGCTGCCTTGAAAAATCCTTCGCAGAGAGTGCAGCAAAAGACCGCTAGATCAAAGGTTGCAAGCCGGGAAGAATGGTGCAGAGTTTGCCGCCAGAATTAAGGAAGATGAAACAAATGGTGGTAAGGAAGAAAACGGGTATAAAAAGGGAAAAACAGGAGAGAGGGGGAGGATAGGATTAGAGGAAGGAAAATAAAGGGATTTAAAATGAGGTGTAATTGTGATGTATTTCGAGCGGAAAATGCTAGAAGGTAAGAGGACTCACCATGGCTGTGCTACTAGAGGGACTCTCAGATTAGGGCAGAAAAGATGAACTGATGAGTGGAAAACAAAATATGCTCCCGCCGCCGCCGGCGACTAGTGCAACTGCTCCGCTTTGAAAAGAGAAACAACAACGTTGACAATAAAAAAAAGAACAAGGTATGGAGAGCAACAGCGGTAAAGAAAAACAGTATGTATCGAAATGGCGGGGGAACAGAAACGTCAAGACGGCGATTCGGAAATGTGAGACGGTGAGGAATCGCGCTGTGGAAGGGAGGACTGCGAACGGGAAGAGAGAACGAAGAGACGCGGGCGACAGGTGAAGAAAGGGGAGAAGGAAGAATGGAGAAGGTAAGAGGATTCGGGAATCGATGAGGCGATGGTGGGCAGCGGGGGGAATGGAGTGGGGGTGGGGGAGATTGCAGACCCCCCAGTGGGAAAAGAATAGAGAGAAAGGGAGAGAAGATAGGGGATGGTGTAGAGAGGGTGATTGCGTTTAAGGTAGCCCGCCACAAGGAGGAGGAGGAGGAGGATGGCGGCGGTACAAGAGGGGGCCGAGAGGAGAGGGATGAGGGTGCAACAAGGTATGGAGAGTCCCGAAGAGAAAAGAAAAAAAAAAAACGCTAAACGCCCCCTAACGACCACCGGCCCAGTCCTATGGAAGCTGCTGCCTTTCGGGGCCACCATGCACAATCTGCAGCTGACGGGCAGGCGCGCCGTACAGCGGAGGGAACGGGCGGGCGCGCAGGCGGGAGGGCATGCGAGCGGGTTCACACAGCAGCGCAGACATGCAAGTGCGTTGCGCAAATTCAATCTGCGAAGCCGCAAAGAATGCCGTTTTTCCCTTTTTGCATTTTCTGCACGACTCGTCATGGGCACGCCATACCCGTTTTCCGCAGCTCTACCGCGCGGGGGCGGTAGTGCGCAAAACTCCGGGCACGAAGTAGCCCAACCACCGGTCGCGCTGTACCACGACCGACGAGCAACGCCAGCGGCGGGGCGACGCCAAGCGGAGGACCAAACCCGTGAGGCGCGAATATGGTGTTTTTGCAGAGGTTTTCCGAAATTTCGGTTATTTTCCCGTGCCCGCCTCCCTGCGCTGCCGCGCAAGCTTGTGCCGCACGTTGCTGCCAGCGGCGGCACTTGCCGCAAGTGATACAGCCAAGGGCCTGCCTGCACTACTCTCCACATGCACAAAAAAAAGACAAAAAATATGGCGGTGCATCTTTCCCCGTTAGACCGGAAGATTCATTCTCATTTTGCACATAGATTCATTCTCATTTTGCACATTTGGAGAGTGGTGCAGCGAGGACGCCCCAACTGGCCGAGCTGAGCTTAGCAGGGATGACACGAACGAACGGGCAGATGGAATGGAAAAGGACAAACGATAACAGCGCCAAAAAGAAGGAAAAGCGGAAACGGGAAAAAGTAGAGCACCGAAATACCCTAGGATTTGAAATGCCGCTGCCAAAAGGAAAAGCACCGGCCAAAAAAAAAAAAAAAAAAAAAAAAGGGAAAAGTACCGGCAACGGCGAGGATTGATGGATGGATTGATCTGAGGACGCGTTCATCGGATGCGTAAGGGTGGGATCGTAGCCTCGGCCATCGTTAGGACTTGGCATGTATATCGTGCGAACACTAGCTCCGTCAGGGTCTGCCTTGCCCCATAGCTGTCAGCCTGCCACCGCCGCGGCTGAAATGGCCTTGGAGCAGCACGGAACAAGAACGTCGTATCGCGGCCAGCAGCCGAACGCGATTTCTTTTTTGCAGGCCTGTACTTGCCGTTGGACTTGCGACCCAAACACCTTCGGATGCTGGCAGCCCTAGAGCCGACGTGACCGAATTGACTTCGGGCCCATCTGGTCCTGTTCTAGCGGAAGTTCATTCTCATTTTGCACATTTCGAGAGTGGTGTGGCGATGCCCTTACCGTGACAGCACAGGTGAGCAACCATAGTTTGCACGTTCGTGTGTTTGGGGGAGGGTACGGTCGTCATTGTGTCATGAGGAGTATAAGAAATAGGTTTTTCTTTTTCGAAACGAAATGCCTGATGACTCCAGGCTATTGGTGAGGAGCGCCACCTGTTGGAAAAGGGGTCCAGTGTCCCAGTAACAAAGGTGTGTCTTCTGGAAAAAGGGTTCTGCTACGTGTTTGCAGGCCTTTGACAACTGTTCAGTTTGCAATTATGTTTCGCCCTTGCTGAATGCATACGTGCTTTTTGCACTCAACGAATTCACTGAGACACATGGTAGTGCAAATCTTGTGTGTTTTCCTTAGTTCTGTTATGTGTATGACGCATCCGCAAATAACATCTGAATGTCAGCAAGGTGTTTGCCATTTATGGACGTAGCCAACCGGAAATGAAATGAGATTACTTTATTCTGGCGAAGGATGGGAGCTACACCCTCCCCCCTTCCCTCCCTTGGGCTGTGCTGCTATGTTGAGTTTTTGCGTGTGTTCAGCCTTTTCTTTATGGGTCTCTCTCTCTCTCTCTCTCTCTCTCTCTCTCTCTCTCTCTCTCTCTCTCTCTCTCTCTCTCTC